TCTCCAAAATCTAAACGAAAATATTAAATATCCATTCCTATCACCATATCTTGCTGTTAACAGATAATATTCCATATAACAAATAATATTCTTTCTACCAAAATATTTCACTAACTGATTTATGCTAACAAACTTATCAAATGGAAGATCTCTATCTATCTAATCCGTCCATCACTTATTATAAATAAACGTCTAGAGTAGGAATACCTTCACGATATCTGTGTCCTCTCTCATAAACCAGCTCATTACTCACTGCAAAACCAAGCAAAATGGATGAAGTGAGTCCCTACACAGCTATCAAAAACTTAAAACTTTTAAAAACCTCTTGGTGTATTCAAGTTAAAATTCTTCATGCGTGGAAGCATTATTCCAAGGGTTCTGGGATGTCTTATGAAATGATTTTAGCAGATGAGGATGTAAGTATTTTCGAATAACAAGTTGTCTGTAATCTTAATGGTTGTCTTTTATTGTTTTCAACTCTTGCCTTCACGTTTTCTTATGCTATTATAGGGAAACAAAATTCAAGCAGGAATTAAGAAAGAACATCTACTCAAACTACAGAGGTATGTGAAGATAGGAGACTGGAAAATCATCGTGGAATTTTCAGTGACTAAGGCAACGGGACAATATCGATCAACAACACATCCATACAGAATAAATTTCCAGAGCTCTACTAGCATCTCCAACTCGCCATCTATTTCAGACGAGATTTGGCTTGATTTGGTGAATTTTAATGATGTGCTAAGTGGGACTTTAGATCAAAACAAGCTGGTTGGTGAGTAAAATTTCTTATCTTGAACTCTTTTAGTCTGTGTATATTGTTAATTAGTTATTACTCGCATATATTGATGTTGTATATTACTCTTTATATAGATGTAACAAAGTATCAAAGGAGACTATTGGTGGGATCGTGATTTGTTTGATCAGATGGGCCAAGCTGGGTCATTACAAAGGTATAGCATTTCCTTAAAGTTTTATAACCTTATATATTACGTGCCAAAAAAAGGTCTGATTGTTAACCCTTATGTTTTCAGAAATAAGGAGTATTTCTAATGCTTTTGACGCTTCAGAAGTTTTAATAAACCCTGTCTTGACAGAGGTTGATGACTTTAAGAAACTGTGAGTGTTGAACAAACTTCTATACGTTGTAACTGTTGACCTATATGACCGAGATTGGAACTCTAACTAATTCTCTTTTTTTCAGACTTCCATCTGATGGGCTTGCCTTGACAATCATGGAACCTAAACCAAGATTTCAGCCTCTCAGGGTGCGTGAAGAGAGATCTAAACAATTTGAGCGGAAGACTATTGCAGAGCTTAAGGCCTCATTTGAGGTATAATGATACATCATAATTTTCTGACTCTCTTTGTTTATTAGAATGTTATTGAGCTAACTTAAGAGACTTATTGTTATTTTCGAAGGTTGAAAAGGTCAAAATAATCTGTTCCATTTTGTCCATTGACTTGGACTATTCCTGGTATTATTATGCCCACATCAAATGTAACAAAAAGGTTTTCAAAAGCAAAAAAATCCTAAGTTCTGGTGCCAAGAAGATAATATACAGGTGTGATAAATGTGCTGCAGATGTTACCTCCATTGAAGCGAGGTAATTGTGAAATTTATAATGCGTATCTACTTATTAGATCATTTTGTATATACCATACCACATACATCAAGTTAACATGATTAAGAGGCTTATTTTCTTAGGTATTGGCTCCACTTAGACATTATGGATACCACAGGTGAGAGCAAACTAATGTTGTTTGATAGTTTTGTCGAGCCAATCATCGGGTGTCTTGCTACTGAACTCTTGGATGTCACAAATGAACAGGTATTTTTGTTTTATATTTAATACATAATTCAACAATTTTTGGGATGAGTTAATAACTAAATGATCCTGACACTATTTCATATCTTATTAGATTGATGAACCCCAACCATTGCCCGATGTTGTTAAAAACATCATTGGGAAAACATACCAATTTCTGGTATGCGTTGAGCAAGATAACATCTCTAGAGGGAATGATGAATACAAAGTCGCTGAGGTTTTAACAAGTCAGAACCTCATTCAAGCTTTACCTAATAATGATTCTGGAAACCCTGTGGATCATTCTTCAATCAGTTCCAGTGACCAGGTTATTCAAATTCTTAGTGTTATTGTCGTAATCTATAATATTTACCTTTGTCATCTATTGAATGCGTAATTATTTATTTCTTGGTGATTTAGGTGTTAATGTTGACTAATAGTTCTGAGAAGGAGGACAACTCTCAAACATTGAGTTGTACCCCATTATCAAAGAGGAAAAAAATTGTTGAAGACGGATCTGATCAGTATAATTGTTGAAGACGCACTAACTGCAAACAGAGAATAAAAAGGCGTCTACTTGAGCATATATCAACCAATCAAACAAAAAGAAATATACCTGTCATACACGAAGACAGCAATGTCACATGCAGCCAAGGATTCTTTGGATGAAAATAGCCCTTGAACTCCATCTTCTGGAATTTCCCTCATGATAAGAGTTTTCTTTGCACCCTACACTCAGAGATTTCCAACTATCAGATTAATGACCAATTACATACAGAAACTTAGAGAAAGCAGCCTTGAAGCATGCCACAAAATGTACAACCAAATAACATCGTCAATCTTTTGAACAGTAAGAAATCATCAAAGATATCTAGCTAGCTCCCATCTCAGTCCCCAAAATAGCACTCAAGTTTGACAAAACAGGAGATTGCAAATCAAAACGCTTATATCTTTGTTCTCTTGCCAAAATTCAGACATAACATTAGATCAATAGGATAATTGTTCATTCAGATTCATAATGGTATTCCTCGATTAACTAATGTTAGGTACTATTTGATTAACCCCTACAAATTCCTATTCAATCACCAATCAATATATCAACAAAATATTGAAACTTTGATGTCATAAAAATTTGAAAGATTAGAGCTGCAATCGAGGAAGAAGAGATTCTTCTTCACAGATTCTTACAAAAATATAGACGATTGTAAGAAGCCGCAATCGTAGGAAAGTCTTCACTCTCATCGTACGTTCGGGACTGAAACGTGACTCTCAATCTCCATATCTACCCTGAAAATAAAACTAAAGAAGAAGAAGGAAATCAAAATTACAGCGATGTAAGCGAAGAAGAACCCTAATGAATTTTAATCTAGCTTCGGTACCTGAAGTTTTATTTGGGTGGAAGACGAAGCAAAGACTGAAGCAAAATACAGATGAGTTTTGGATTATTTGGGTGATATGGAATGAAAGACGAAGCTGCAATCGACCAAGGTATAGTGATTTGGAATGAAAGATTTGAGCTGCAATCGAGAAAGAAGAGATTCTTCTTCACAGATTCTTACAAAAATTTAGATGATTGTAAGAAGCCGCAATCGTAGGAAAGTCATGTAATTTCCAGTCAATTTTTTTTTTGTCGGCATTCCATTGAGTTTTAGGTATAGTTTTTTATTTATTAAGTTTTTAGATAATTAAATCAGACATAATATAATCTAGAGCCTATATATCTTCATTCGACCCAATTAGGGCACAAATAAAACCAAGACACAATACAAAGACTATTTCTAAGTTGGGCCAAAAATTATATGCTCTCATACAAACAAAATATTTTTCTTTCCAAATAAAATACATAATACAACTTGGATACAAAATTTACACTATAAACTAAATATGATGTATTTAATATAAATATGATGTTTTTAAACAAAGACAATCTAATGCAGCATTATATTCAAATAGTAATAAAATTGAAACATATTATGGCATCACTTTTACACTATACTCTAACTTATGTAATTCAAACAAAGTATTCAATTTTATTCATATAAAATATTAATGCCCGTGCTGTATAGCACGGGTTATGATCTAGTAAATTATGAAGTGAAAATGACTCAAAACATTTAGTCAAATGTAAAGGTAATCCGTCTATATTCTTTTTCTTGCAAAAACAACTCAAAATAGGAAAAATATAGAATCACCTTTAACTCTAATTTTTCGTTTATTTACATAGTGTAAAAGTAAAAATATTTATTCAGTATTCAAAATGTGATGACAATATTGTCAATATGATTGTTGTATGGGTAAAAGAAGTGCAAATAGTTCTTTTTGTAAGAATTGTTTAGGCTATGTTACATTTGTAACTAGACATGTCAATTAGGGCTCGGATTCAAAAGACATGTCAATATTGTCAATATAATTTGAGACGTGGAGAAGTTGGCAGATTTCATAGAGTGTGAGCCCCGGAAGGATTATTCCGATTGGCTAAAAGGGAGAGAACGGTTTCGTAGTCAAAAGTGGAAGTCGGAGAAGATTGCCCTCCAAAGGTGGAATAAGAAGCAAAAAGCTTGGAGAGTGAACAAAAGAAAGAATGTTTAAAAGCTGACTAAGTGAGTGAATATAATCTTTCGGGTAGTCTAAAGAGTTGCTCACACTGATTTGCATTCAGTGCATCTTGGATTAGTCAAAAGTTCGAAGCGTTCAGTGCGTTTGAAACGCATATAATTAAACTTTACGGAGGCTGCATAAATTCATCTAACAGAACTTGTCTCACAGTTTTTTTTAGCTTCACAATTCAAAGAAAAACAAACATTCGAGGACTTAGTTCGCAATCTTAATTTGGTAATTGCAATTGCAAAAAGCAAAAATATCCAACAGTTAACCCGAACAGAACCAAAGTAGATTTACTGTGAATGAGACCAAAGCATTTAAAGACGATAGCTAAGTCGCAAGGCCATTAGAGCCATTGTAGCATCGCGATTATAGGCCCCATCCCCACGCCGTATACCCGTGGTGGCATACGACACGAGTCGTCCAAGCCAACATTGGACACAGTGACCACTGATATGCAAATGTCTCCGTCTCGGACAAAACTGTGATGTATAATCTCAATCAACCATTCAACTGTAAGGAGAAGATGCACTTGTGGGTGTTACTCATAATAATTATGCATTGCAAATAGAAATCCTTCAGTAGAGATTTTAAACATAGACCCCACTCCGTTCTAGTCCAAAGAGTCGAAGACATAAACACAAGCAAAGACACACAACATCCGTGCATAGATAATAAACACTAACATGATAAAAAGTTTCCAATAGATAGCAGCTGATAGATTATATAGCAGACAAGATCCTCATGTCTCTCTGTCTTCTATTTGTTCCTTAGTGACAGCAACTTCAAGGCTCATGTGCCCTGGTTTCCCATCCATGGTTTTCCTTATTATAGCGTCGTGCTCACCAGCCCAGGGTGTTGAAGGATCAGCAATACACTTGTAACTTATGTAGAAGATTGCATTATCTGCCTTGAGCTTCTCACGAGCCTCTGTTGTGTATTCTTCTAAAGTTTCTACAACAACCTTCTTGATCTCCAAGGGTTTGCAAGCGCTTACACCCTGCAATTACATTTGTGGCAAGCGTAAAGAGGGGAAGAGACAAACAAGTTTCACTTGCTTTTATTTTTTTTGGGAGAGAACAAGAATTGCGACATTCAAGAACTTACACTCTCTGTTTTGGAGTAGAAGGCGACTTCCATGAGCAGTTGCAGCCAGTCATTCTCATGCAGCTCTGATTCTTGCACCTGCGAATGATGATGATCCACAGAAATTTATTAAAACTAGAACAAAAATTCAAAAACTCCAATGTGGACATGAAGGATGTTTCTTATTACCACGTAAAACTTTTTATCGTCACGGACCAAGGCCTCATCGGAAAACCATTTGGGCATCGGACCTTTGTAGGAATCATCTATTGCAGCCATGTCCCAAACTTCATCCACACTCTCGGTACCATCTAAAAAGTGATGTTTATAAACAGTTAGTCCTCTTTTGACAAATTCATCTCCAAAAACAGTAAGTCCCGAATAAAAACTGTTATGCATATGGAGGTAATATAGATTCTTACGTGTTGCTTTGATTCTGGCGGCTAAGCTCGCCAACGTAAGACCGATACCCCAAGTAAGATTCTTATAATCATTGCCTAACATGGTCTGAAAAGAGAAGACCGAGCTGCTGGTCGGATCCGTTGCCTCGAAAGTTATGTAGTAGTCCTCGTATCTAGTCGAGTGAGTACCACACTTTTCCAAGCGTTTAAACTTATAGTTTGTTCCCTGTCAAAAACGTAAAAACTTATAATTTCTTTTTGACAAAAGACAGAGAGAGAGAGAATAGTGATGATGATGAGAGTTACCTTCTGAAAATTGTGGCAGTGGAGTCCAATCCTAGCAAAAAGGGCTATTTCATAATCATATTGCCAAGTAGACTTAACTAGTGTAGGCGGATAGGAAGACCAATCCAGATCAAAAAGCTAAAAGAAAATAAACCACGCAATCAGATTTGATTAGAACCAATGAGAAGTAATAACTAACCACCTAAGAGAGATCCCAATTATGAATAAGAAATTCAGCAGCTCGAGCTACATATGTTTTTAAGAAAACTCGGAACAAGGGAGACATATGTTTCACCTCATCCTCAACCTGTGGCGTCCCCTCCATATTCCCTTCGAAGCCTAATCACATATTAGGAAAGAAAATCGAAAACTTTAAAATTCCACAGAAATATAACGAAATTTTTGTTGTGATTGAACAATAATGAAACGTGAATCTTTATAAACCCTGATTACTTGAAATTGATGGACATATTGTGCTATCAACCAAATCAACCAAATAATCCAAACTGGGATCATCATCTCCTTCGTCGAAATCCAAGGGAGCCTGCCAAGAAAATATTAGATATCACTAAAAACAAACAAAACATAAACAACAATTGAGATATATCTACATACCTGCTTTTCAAGAGCATCTTTAGGTAAGATACGTGGACTCTACAAAAGTACAATAAGATATTTAAGTCAGCATAACAATATTACAAGATTGTATAAAGGATAAAGTTTCAGAAAAAAACCTGAATACCAAATACAGCCAACAAATCAAGACGATCACATGTTAATTTCCACTGTTTGCGATTATCTTCATCTGGAACAAGCTGATTCATCTCCGAATTAGTGCAAATAGCAATACAGATTAAATTCTTTGCAGCCATTTTCTTGATAGCTTCAAGTATTCTTTCCTGAAATGACAGAATTTAGGTTTTGCCAAACAGATTTTCATACATGAATACAAAAAATGAAAATAAAAAATAAATAACTGCTGCTAACCTTTCCAGCACCATCGAGAAGACATTTTTCTAGAATGAATTCAGGTTTGCCTTTCCAATGGATGCGTACCCCATTTAGAGAGGGAATTTTCTGAGAAATGAAAAGACCAAAATAGAAGTTAGAAACTAATGCTTATAACTAGAAGTTGATAGAAAAAATTATAACTCATACACCCTCTACTGCAGTGCCTTTGGCTTCAACTTTCGGCGCTGATTTAACCCCTTTCTTACGCGGAAGGCATTTATCACATGGACCTTTTAACGTGATAGAGTCAGACTTGTTATAAGTGATATTCATCTTCGCTTGTAGCTGCAGGTTCATTAAAAATAGTTGACAACACAACAACAAATATTGATATAATGAAAGAAATGAAACTACAAAAATAACCTCTATAGCCCATTTAAATAGAGCTCGGTCTATCGGGGTTCCAATAACTTCTTCTATACCCTTGGATCACCCAAAAATATGCAAATTGTTACATTCAATAGGACTATAATCAAATAGAAAAGAATTATAGTGTTTTAAACATACCTCAGATTGACACACACGAACCGATGTGTTATGATAAATCCCTTCAAATATACGAAGTAATGTATCTTTCGGGAGAGTGGTGGGGCATGTAGACTCTTTACTTATACACTCAACTACTTCTTTCTAAAGAAAATAAGAAAAATTAAGAAGGAAGTTAATTTTTGTCACATTACTTAAGAAAACAAAACATCAGATATAAGAAAATTAAATAACTATGATTAATAACTATTAATCCACAAGAAAACAAAGAACATACCTCATATTCTTTCCTAACCTCACCATAGACAAAACTCCTGAATAATCTACTTGGAGATTTAAACGATCCGTTTGAATATACGTCACTTATCATAACATCCAGGGATGCCTTAAAATAACCCTGATTTCCTCTCTCAAGACCATGAGAGTTTTTACACTCTGCAATTGCTTCCCCATTCACAAATGTTATCGAACGAATGGAGACGGAATGCCATCTTTTGAACATGGAATCATCCCTTGTAGGCCCACGGTAAATTTTCTGAATATTGGAAAAATAAAATCTTAGTTAAAAAAGATTCAAACGTAAAACAAAAGAACAACATACATAATTTATCAAACAGAATGACTCACATCTTCAATCTGACCGAAGTCCGGGGTGAATACAGCAATTGACCCGATTAGGGGTTGGATTTTTAGGTACTTTACTGCAAGGTTGATGTCCGAAAATAATCGAACATCATTCAACACATGCTTGCATACCTTAACTTCATCGAGTTCCCGAGAGACAAAAAGTTCGTTACTATATTGTTCCACAGACATATGATCGATGGGGCATCCAATACCTTCCCAATCAGCTTCTACTGGAATTCCGTTATTCATTGCAAATACCATAGCTGAATAGGATGAATAACCATAACAGTAATGAGCACCTTCACTATCTTTAAATCTTCTCTGTGATTTGGCCTTGTTAGCAAACTCCATCAGAAATTGACCTGAATACCGTGTGTATTCAGGATCGATTTTATGAATAAACCTAGCATCACTGATATTTGCAATACTGGTCACTTTCCAACAAGTCTCTGCAATTTCGATTAAGAGTATTATGAAAACAATATTTTAAAGAAGATAGAAAGATGGAAACTTGGTATCAATTTACCATGTCTTCCTTGATCCTCTACTGGAATCTCATCATGCCAGTTCTGTCCGTGACAGGTCTCCATGAATGTGCATGTGCATGAAAACGAGAAAAGTAAGGAGTGTTAAATAATACCATAACAGCACGGCTCCTGGAATTTGGGAGCTCTCGAACAAACTTCTCAAATGCATCTAATCTGACTCTACCCTTGATCTCAAGCAACATAGGCCACTCTTTAGTAGTAGTCTTTTCGCCACTGTCATAGAGTAAAAATCAGATTAGAAAACATGGTATCAATAGATGTACAGACTTTGACATAAATCAAACGTTCTATAATGCGAATGGATTTTATGGATGGCATGAATCCAATGAGAAGCTTATAAATTCAGAAAAACTTGTAATTAGCTAAGTCATTTCCATTCAAAAACGTCTTATGCAGCTGATAAAGATAAACACTGGAATAGTAGAAATAAGTAACATGTTAAGGGTCTTTCACTAATCAGCACATAGAAAGCTTTTAAAACATGCAAACCCAAATTTGGAAATGTAGACTGAATGAAAAATACTGAGATAGATTTGCTACCACTCATGAAACCATTTATAACAAACCTTCTTAGAATGCCGATGACAGAGCTCACAGTAGAAGCACTCAGCTGGAGCGCACCTTCCCATACACGTTCACCATCGGGTATGAAACCAGATATAATTTCAGATTTCAAATCAGAATCAGGCTTTAACGATACTGTGTCACCATCCTCAGCCTTAAGTGGTGAAAATGCCTCAGCCTTAACTGGTGATGTACCAAGATCAATATTAGCATTTTCTTTGGGTGATATACAAACTAAATGCGCCTCTACATCATTATTATCTGACACAGACGGAGATTCAGAATCTATGGATGACATGAATTCATCAAGAGAAACAATTGTAGGAAGAGATCCAGTGGCAGTCTGCATCTCATCATCTATTGTGACTCCGTTTATTGGCCCAGTGCCCTCATTGGAGCCGTTCAATTCATTCTTGATTCCATGTGCTTTAGTGATGGAAGGGGTTTTCTTCTTAATATTCTTTGGCCGAGACCAATTGAGTGAACTCATTCCAACAGAGACCTCTACTGAGCCACTATCCATAGGTTCAACTTCCACTTGGAACTCTCCTTTGTGTGTTTTCCTTACCAGGCTTCTGATATCCACCTCTGTGTCCTGCAGAAAAACCATCTGAGCCATCTCTTCTGCTTTTGCTTGTCGCCACTCGGCTAGTTCCTTTGAAGCAAGTTCTTCTGCTGACATGGAACACAATCGCTCTGCTGCAATTTCTCCATACATAACCTTTTCCCTGAGTTTAGGATTACTTTTGTCTTTCAAATTGAACAAGAGAGACCTTCCTTTCTCTTTATATTTCTTATTCACACCACCAAATAACTTAAACAGTTCTGCCTCTATTTCGAATGCCAAAACTTGTGGATCCAGTAACAATTTCTCCTGGCTCCCATCATTAGCCATTGCTCCAATCATATCATTTTGACAATTGACAGTAAAATCAATATCCGACTCAAGAGCCCAAGAGAGGTCATTCCCTTGCAAAAGATCATCTTTTGAAAACACATTGTCACTATATGAAACATTGTCTTGCACAAATGGTTTTAAAGCCTCAGGTTCTTGTGCAACAATTTCTTGGGCATCACTTGTCTTGGTGATAGTCAAAATCTCCGGTAACACAGACTGAACAGAGACACCTACTAAAGTACTAGGATCACTGAGGGTCAGAATCTCTGTGCTCCCATTAGATACCATCACATCAACTCCAGAAAGAGCTGACACTGGCTCACTAACATGACCTTCGAGAAGATTAGCTACAGTCTCACTATCTAAACTTTTCGACTCTTTAGGAACTTCCATATGACACTGTACCATTGCCAATGCACCAGCTAAAGATTCTCTCATTTTAAACCTAACAGATCCAGCTGACTCACTCTGAGATTTCAGCAACATCGGTTTCTGCGAAGTCTGTTTTCTCGCCGCAGTTTGCTTCCCGGGTTTATTACAAGAAACAGAACTATTCCTACTAACAAATGATACAGGCAAATACTGTGTCCTGGGGGAAACAGAAGTTAACTGCACCGGCATTGGAGCAGACGCCCATGGTCTATGTTCCATAGGTAGTACCATCCGTTTATTTTGCACAGATTGCTGCAACGGAGATTTCCGCTTGCCGGGTAACAGAGTTGTATCCATATTAACTGATCCTAAACGAACAGCACTAGGTACCATTACATGAAAATCCTGCCTCCCAGAGATCTGACTACAGATGGGTTGTAACAATCTCATTTCCTGATTAGAAATCAAGTCTGGAGTAGTATCAACATTAATAAATTGACCCATTTGCATACAAGGCTGAGGCAAGAGATCGTTGGACATAACAGCCAAATCAATATAACAAAACAAAGGCTGCAAAAGAGAAATGAACAGCGGATTCAGTAAAGATTCAAGATTTGATAACAACAAATGTATAAACATTGATTCAGATGATGTTGGTTCTCATTGAAAACAATTAATGATTTAGTGAAACTTTCACTGTGAAAGAGATGATTAATCGGAAGTCGGAACCAATGGCAACGATGTGAATCCAAGCTTCTCTAGTTTATCAATGTTAACAATGTGAGAAAGAGTGGATGTGTATTACCTAATCTGAGAAGTGAGGAAGAGAGATCAGAGGCGGCGATTGGGAAGAGACGAGCATGAGTGTATAGTGAAGAAGAAAACCCTAAAGGGAGAACTTGGAGAGGCATGTGTCAACTCTGTAATTAACCTGATTAATTAGTTACAGTATCTAATAGCCACAAAGTGCTTCGTAACCTTAATCCTATACTAATATTTGGGAAGTACTCCCTCCGTATTTTAATAAGTGTCGTTTTAGGATTTTGCATAGAAATTTGAAAACGACATCCAATTCAAAAAAGTAAAAATTCTAAAACGACACTTATTAAAATACGGAGGAAGTACATCATAAGGATCATAACTTAAATTTTGTAAGAAATTACAATATATGCCATTATATAATTCTAATCATAAAATTTATTCCATGTCACTAATATATATTAACGGGTCAACGGGTCAACGAGTTTAAAGATATTAAAAGATTTTGTTTATATAATACACTAGATAAGGCCCGCCTAAATAGGCGAGTATAATATATAAATATAAATTGTTATCGATGATATTTGAATTTTGATTAATATAGTAAGTCATTTACTTTCCCTAATATTTAATAATTTAGTATTTTTTGTTTTAAAAAAAAAAATCTTACACATTCCATTTTTCTATACATTTTAACTATTTATTTTATCGTAATAAACTGAACTTTAATTCTACACACTCTTTCGTATTGATGATATTTAAATCCTAAATAGTAACCGACACACTTTTTATATATTTAATTTAGTATTTTTTTTTAAAACAAAATTTCAATCTTACACATTCCATTTTGCAATATAATTTAACTATTTATAACATCATAATAAACTTGATTTTAAGTCTTCATAGTTCATCTTAATAGATAAACTGCTAATAATAATTTTGTATCAAAATCGTATATATATCATATCAAATCTATATCTTATTTAATATTAAATTTTTTTAATATAACTAACAAATAACAAAACATTTAATAAAAAAATAGAAATCCACAAAAGTTATGGAAAACAATCATTGTTTAAAATATAGTTTTTTATATAACGTAATCTCATAAGTTAGTTTTACCTCATGGCAAACTAATTTTAAATGAGTCAAAATTAATAAATAAATCATTAAAATATATATATTAACATTCTCATTAAGTAATCAAAAATTCAATCATATAAGCCATTTTCCCAAATATTTTTAGTTTATAATTATGACTACATGCACTAAAATTTTTAAAATAAAATTAAGTATAACCACACTAATTTTCTTATCAAATATTCAAATATTCGTTCGTTTTTCTAAGCTCATTACTTTTTAAAAAAAATTTGTGTTTTCATTTGATGAATAAAAACACTATATTACGATGATAAATACAATTTTATCCAATTAAATTAATGTTAAATAATTTATATTGTTATTTAAAACTTCAACCGTTATTATTTATTTGTTAATATCCATACTAAATGATTTTATAGAAAACAATTAACACATGCCAAATCTAATTGACCAATAATACATGTGAAGAGAAATTGTTAGTTTTCCTTTTTGGCTAAGAAAAATAAAGTTAACATATTATAAAAATTATTAGATATAGAAATTAGTAAATGTAAGTATTCTTTTTTTTAGTTTTTCTTTTTTGTTAATGAAGAAAGTTAAATATATTTTTGACACATGTCAACATCTGATCGATAGACTTGACACGTGTCACGATCATGCGAGATATTAACTTTGAAAATCATACTTTATATAATAAGATAATTAATATAATTCGAGAATGTTATATACTAATCAATATTCGAGATTATATAATACATAAAAATGTTATATAATACATAAAAATGTTATATAATACATAAAATATTTTGTTTATATAATATATAAAAATGTTATATACTAATATACTAATATATTATTCGAAAATGTTATTGAAAATTGAAAATGTTATTCAAAATGTTATATAGTAATCCATTATTCGAACATCTTATAAAAAAATGTCATTAAAAATGTTAATGAAAATGATATATCATTGAAAACATTTTATATCAATCCAATTTATAAAAAATAAAAAATGCTATTTTGAATTATAATACTCATATAGTTCGAAAATGTTATATAAATTGAAAATGTTAGAAAATTCTCCATTTTTTGAAAATGTTACTAAAAATTGAAAATGTGTCTACGTTCTTATATCTAAACAAAATTTATTTTCAACTACAATTCGTAATCTTTGACAATATTTTCAGTTTCCTAAACATTTGTTATCATCTTTGACAATATTTTTAGTTTCCTAAACATCTGTTATCATCAATTTCGTTGTTTTGATTAAGCTAAACAATACAATATTTTCAGTTTCCTAAATCTTTGTTTCTGACTTCAGTTGATTATATTGTTTAGGTAGTATATTCATTTTTTAATTACGCGGGTCATTGGGTCATCAGACGGATTTAATTATACTACCTAAACAATATAATCACATAATTTTGTAATTAATTAATTAGGGAGATTTCGTAAATAATAAAATCAATTCAAACTAATAAGGCAAATTCTATACTATTATTTGGGAAGTACATCCTATAAGTCGTAACGTTAATTTTGTAAGAAATTATAATATATGCCATTAGAGATCTCTAATCATAATCATTTTAATTCCATGTCACTAACATTAACAAATTAATTAAAAAACGGGTCAAATAACGAAAAACGGGTTTAAAGATCTTAAAGATATTAGGTTGTTATATTTTGTTTAAATATAAATTCGTATTCAAGCAATTCATAATCTTTGAGAATATATTCAGTTTCCCTAAAATCTTTGAGAATATATTCAGTTTCCTTAAAACCCTTTATAAAAAAAAATAAGTTATAATAGTTGTTATATTCTAGATCGTTTTTTTTGTTTAGTTTTACGTTTTTTGTTTAGCTTAATCACGCATCAATATAATCAGCTATTCAGTTTCCTTAAAATCTTTTCTAAAGATTGTCAAATCTCTCTATTATATAATTTTGATCCTATATTCCAAATAATCTAGAATATACCTTTCTAAAATATTATCTAACTATTTTATGCTAATTAATATATTTTTAATCTCCTAATTATCACAAACAATCTACAACTATAAATATCCATTTAGGTTTGATATACTTTTCTCACAGAAATCATCTCAGCACTATTCTCATATCCAACAATTAAAAATACAGCAGAAATGGCTATGGTTAGACCCTACACTCCTATTAACAACTTGAAGCCTGTCAAGACTTTTTGCTGTATTCAAGTTAGTATACTTCATTCGTGGATTCATTTTACAAAAGGTCTGGCATGTCTTTGGAAATGATTTTGACAGATGAGGCTTTAAGTACCATTGAAATTTTATACAATTCTCTTTGTAATATATGTGCCGTAAGTTTTAAGTCATCTTATTTTAATTACAAGGTAACAAAATTCAAGTAGACATCAAATAGTTTTACCAAAAAAAAAGTAGACATCAAATAGGAACACATCAGCAAATTTCAAAGGTATGTTAAACCGTTTTTTTTTTTTCCTTTTTTTTTAACCATGAAACTAGGCCCCACAAACCCAATATAATCCATTAAAAAACTTAGACCCAATACAACTATTTTTTTGTTTGTTCACAATCACACAATAAAATTATCAATTCCTAATTGAACCAAAGAAATTGTTAATCTCATATAAAAAATACAAATCTAATGCTGCTAAATATATTAAATTCTAAAATACAATATTCTCACCTTCTTTAGTCAAATAAAATATATAACATTATATCCAAATAGTAATAAATATAAAATATTATGATATATTCTTTTTTATTTTTTACTATTATACTATATTATTCCTTATTTCTTCGAACAAAATATACAATTTAATTTATGAAAAATATTAAATCCCGTGCTGTATAGCACGGGTCATGATCTAGTTAGCTTTGTAATATTTTATAATTCAAGTTCAAGTATAATGTCTCTGGTAGCTAAAGTCACATTTGGATTGGTGGTCTCTCCCGAATATAGTCCGCAAACTCCGTAATCCGTATGCTGACAACAAAATTGTTGTAACGTTCCGTTCTATAATAAAAATTTTGGTTTTAGATTTTTTTTTTCTTTTCCGTTTTTGTTTGGATTAGGTTTTCGCTTCTCGGATATAGAGAAAGTAAATCCATTTAGACCATACTAAAATATGGTTTGGTATTGAGGGTGAGCCACTTTTAAGAAAAAAAATAATCTTGCATGCCATTTTATATTCTGAGTACCACCGAAAAAGTGATATTCTTAAATTACATTTAATAAAATTATCAGACGGAATGGTATAACTGAAAGATAATAATACTAATTGGTACAGCCGTACAGATGCGAGATTATAGAACAACCAGTACAAATGGTATAATTGAGAGATAATGAACAACTAGTACAAATAGTGTAACTGAAAGATAACAGTAAGATATAAATAGGGATAACTAGTACAAATGGTATTACTGATAGATAATAGTACAATTGATACAAATGGTATAAATGGTAGGACTGAAGCAACTTGTAATTTTAAACCCTAGCATCGTCACACTATTTCGTCTCTTCTTGCTTTGTTCACTGTCGTCGTCGCCGATTCTCCGCCGTCACCCTTCCTCATTGAAGTTTGTGGACCGGCTTCTCTCACCCAACGATTGTGCACTACAAAAGACGAAAGCGTCTCTAGTGCAAAAGAAGAAGCCGACTTTGGAGAGATCTAGATCGGGATTGTTGTTGGATTTCTGATTTACGAATCTCAACATAAGCTATGGTAATGGAGACGAAGACAAGGACCAAGATCGATGAGAAGCGCGAAGAGAGATCCATGGAGAATAAGAGATCTAGGGTTTCGCTGATGATGGTGATGGAGAAGAAGAGATTTAGGGTCAAAGATCCGAAAAATCCAAAAGAAGAAGAAAAAGCTTAAAAAAATAAAGAAGAAAAGAAGAAGATAAGAGTAATTATGTGGTTGGGTAACGAAGGAATGACAAGGATACGTAACTTTTAGTTTAAAGTAAGGTTTTTTTTTTTACTTTTGTTATAGATTTTGATTTAAAACAAAATGAAAAATAAAATAATAATATGAGAGTGGCATATACGATTAATTTTTTCTAGTAAGTGGCATTAGAGTCATTGTTCCTTTGGTATTTGAAATTAAGTATATCGGGTTGGTTTGGTTCTAACTATTTGGATTAGTATTAACTTCTCCTTGATTCCCTATGGCTCCGATGAAACACCATGTTTCTTCCCAAATCTTTTGGCCAAGGAGCCAAATTTATAGGTTTAATCAATCTATAAAACCTGATTATTCATTTTAATGATATTTATAACTAAAAATAATAATATGGAGTGTTACAACACCAAAAGAATTTTACAACTAATTTAACTAATTAATTAATTTTAGAAGGCCTAAACAAGAAAGAAAATTCTTGAAAATGTTTTAACATTCAAAGTATTTCATTTAATTTTGTGTGCACAAGTTTTACATTGAAACCACTATTTTGAGATTTAAGTTTGATATAATACAATAAAATCAAACCTTATTTGTACATCAACAATAATTGTTTTTCAAACCACGCATTTCGTATATAGGTATTAACCTAGTAGTTAATAATATAATGGAATGCTACATATCTCATCAGTTCTTATTTTTTCCATTCAATAAATGTCTGAACCAATGAGCCGATTTCTTAAGATATCTCTTACGTCCATCGTTAAAATCCACGTAAACAAGTCCAAACCGGACTGTGTATCCCGACGCCCATTCAAAGTTATCTAGCAACGACCATGCAAAAAATCCCTTTACGTTGGCTCCAATCGAGATAGCATCTTGAACCATCTTGAGATGTCGAGCGTAGTAGTCGATCCTATCACTATCTTTAAGTAAGATTTTACCAGTACTAGCTTCATCTCTTCCATTTTCTGTTATATACATGACAGGGTCTTTGAACTTGTATTTTGCATAGAGGATAAGATCACGAATTCCCTTTGGATATATCAAAAGCCAATCTGATGCAGCCTTTGGACCGATAGGAACTCCTTCTCTTTCCCCCGTGACGCTAGCACAAGGATCAGAGAACATTGTAACGTTTTCGCTTGAGCAAGGAACATCTTTTGCATAAGAAGACGAGTAATAATTGATGCCAATGAAATCATATGATCCTTTAAGCATCTTAGATTGTTTTGCAGTAAATGTAGGTAAGCGACCGCCTTTTACGTTGTTAACCATGTCAATCGGGTATTTACCGGTCACGAGCGGCTCCATGAAATAGTCGAATGTGAAAGCCATGGCTCGTGCCGCGGCTAACCTATCCTCAGAAGATTCTGTATAAGGTAAGTTCCAACCTGCATTCAAAGCTATACCGACTTGACCTTTTTGAGTAGCCTTATATCTTTTTCTATAGACTTTGACTGCTTCTCCGTGAGCAAGGATGAGGTTGTGGCCAACGATATAAGGCTCGGTGGCTCCATTTCCGGCGATGCAATTAGGGTTTGTAAATTTTGAACACCTTCCTGGAGCCATAACACCTGCAACATATCCTTGTTGCACCACAGTTAATGGCTCGTTCAATGTCACCCAATGTTTCACTCGGTCTCCAAAATTTTTGAAACAAATATCCGCATAATCGCGGAAATCATTCACAATTTCATCCCCACGGAATCCTCCGTAAGCATTTTCAAGGTCTTGTGGTGTGTCCCAATGGAAAATGGTGGCGAAAGGCTTAATTCCTTTGGACAAAAGCTCATTGATCAAGTTGTTGTAATAGTCAATACCAGCTTGGTTGATTCCTCCTTTGAGATTACCACGAGGCAAAATCCGCGACCATGAGATGGAGAATCTATAGGCATTGAACCCAATTTGATGCAATAAACCCACATCTTCCTTGTAAAGATGGTAAGAGTCGTCTGCAATAGATCCGTTGCTACCATCTTTTATCTTTTCTGGGTATTTTTCAGAGAAAGTATCCCATATACTAGGTCCTCTACCATCTTCATGAGCAGCTCCTTCGACCTGGTACGCAGAGGTTGCAGCTCCGAAAATGAAATCTTCGGGGAAATCAATTTTTCTTAATTTAGGTGTTGAAGAGTGTCTCTTGGCAACAACTTCATTGGAAGCCAAGACAATGAACACTAGTAAACAAAAATATTTACTTGTCATTCTTAATTTTCTTTTGATTCTTGAATCTGTTTTTTTGTTGTAAGAAAATGAATTATGTGTAGAGTTATATAGGCAAGAGATTTGTTTTTAAATTGGGTATGTGAATCTATAAATAGAGAAATAGTGTAACAAATCTTTTATATTTTACTTCTTCCTAATTAGTAAATAGAATATTCAAATGATCTTATCTAGATATCTTTCTAATTGGGAAAAAAATAGAAAAACAATGATCTTATCTATTTATCGTATTGATGATTTATGTCTCAAGGGAGTTATTTGAAATATCTTGGAAATTTACAAAAACAATTCGTGTAAGTTTCAAAATAGTTTTAAAAAACCGTGTGTGGATTTGCATAAGATGATCAAGTGTCTATTTGCTTCTTAATGTAGGTGTCTTAATGAAAAACCAATTGTTTCTTCTTCCTCTCTTTATGCTACGAGACTTTATTCTATCATCATTCTTCAAAAAGCAAAGAACATGATCATCAAGAAAATTAATGAAGTTGGATAATGTGCATACGTCCTCGAAACATCCACTAGATATCATTTAGAGTATATTTACAACAAACCTTCGCCTACTTGAAATTACTCAACACTAATACATTTCTATAACTTGGCACAAACCAAATCTAGCTACACAAGGGTAGTAGACCAAACGTGGTTCTAATACACAGATGTGTTCTAACAAAAATTCGACTTGCCTACTTAGACTAAAATAAAGCAAAGCATTATTGTTTATATAGATTCGGCTAACCTTAATAGCACACACCTCCCTCGTATATATAGCCATATTACATGGAGGTGTATTCGGATTTAGTTGATTTTTCTGTTTTTCGGATTTTCAGTTCATTAATAATGGACCTAACATTTCTCAAAGTTCAACGGCCTGGGCGTTTGGGTATTTGGTTCGGTTCTAGAACCGAACCATTCGGTTCCAAGTATTTTGGTTCTGAGATTTAGGAACCATATTGGAACCAAATCAATATCGGTTCGGTTCGTGTAATAAATTTTAGAACCGAGTAGGAACCAAACTGTTTCGGATATTTTGGAACCGAAAAAACAATAGAATCTATACTAGTATTTTTGTAGTCATTTTGGTGACGGGTGGGTAAAAATGCTCTCGGGTTATTTGGATATCCGACCCGTTTCCACATTTTGGTCATAAAAAGTTTGTTGGGTCGGGTTATATTTAGGAACCGGATATTCCATATTTAATAATTTAGATATTTAGAAGATTTGATTAAGATTTAGAATTATTATTCTCCTATCATCTTTGTTTGATTTGTTTTTAACTGTTTTGAATCATCATATAATACAAAAAGTAAAAAAAAAATCAATTTTTTCTGTATATACTGTGATTCGAAATTTAAAAAACGGACATATATTATCCGATTGACGAAAATGTGTGTTCAACGTTCTACATCGATTAAAATATTTAGACAATGATTCAAAATCATATCATAAATAAGATCAACATTAATAAAATAAATGAGTTTTTTGGCCGGACGGGTTTGGCGGGACGGGTTTTTGAATCAACAATAATAAAAAGATTAAAATATCATTAATCCGCCGCTTCAATACGGATTAAATCCTTAATTTTTTTTAATACCACCAATATTAGACATATCAAATCAGTCTCATTTAGAAAAGATTGTATAAAATAAAAAATTGTTCCGTGGTATAATGTTACTTAATAACAATTGTAAACTATAAAATATAAATGTCTTTGAAAATGATACAATTTACAAACTTTTATCTATAATAAATAATCGTTAAATTTTTTAAAATTACTACTTTTAGAAAACAAATTACGGGACGGGTTAAGAAATTACAGGACGGGTTATATGGTGGACGAGTTTGAATCAACATTTATAAAATTTTAAAATATTATTAACATGTCGCTTTAATACATATTCAATCCTTAGTTTATTAAAATATAAATGTCTTAGAGAATGATACAATTTATAAACTTTATATATAATAAAAATTATTAAATTTTAAAATCACTACTTTTAGAAAACAAATCACAAGACAGGTTAAGAAATTATGAGACGGGTTATATTTCGGAACGGATTTATATGGCGAACGGGTTTGAATCAATATTTAAAAATTTTTAAAATATCATTAACATGCCGCTTTAATATGAGTTAAATCCTCAGTTTATTATTGTTCCGTGCACTCGTGATATACCGTTACTTGATAATAATTATAAACTATAAAACATAAATATTTTATAAGGAGATACAATTTATAAAATTTTATATATACTAACTTTAAAAAATAAATCATCCCGCGGTGTACCGCGGGTTAAAATCTAGTTATAATGCAAAATTCAAATGCAATTATGCAAGTATGCAATGCAACATCACATATTAGTCATCATACCATTACAAATTCAAAAAATAGTTGAAACTTGGAAAGTATTAAGTCAAAAGACACCCAAAGTTTCAAAAATACCACAAAACACAAGTTTTAAAGACACCAAAAGAAGCTTTGTCTTCGATTTGCAATGATTCGAAAGAGAGAGTTGTTGTCTGTGGCGTCTCCTTCTTGAGAAAGAGAGAACAAACTAGGGTTTCTCTTTAAGTTTCAGAGAAATATATAAGAGGCTAAGAGAGATATATGGTAGGTTGTTAGGCTTGGGTAGTTAGGTTTATGTCTAGATGGGTTTGAGACTTTGGGTTTATAAATATAGGTTAGTGGACTATATTTTTTGGATACCCGAATGGATATCGGTTCCACCCGAACCTAACTGATACTCATGGTTCTTTGATTCAAGATCCAATCGATATTTTTATTAGAACCGGAATCGAACCGTACCCATCAATTTCGGTTCGGTTCGGTTCGGTTATATGTGGATCCATAGTGCCCCGGCCTAGTTCAACCACTAGACGAAAGTTCCGAGATGGAAGTGAAACTTGTTGACATAGACTTGGGCTTCACTATAGATCGATAATGGGCCGACTCATTTCAGTAGCAAGTACTTGGAGTTTTTTTTCTCTTGTACTACACGCATGTACTACTTTCTTTCATCTCACATCCAATAGAGTACTACTCCAACACACAAAACTGAAAACTTCCAAAATTTGGGTAGGATACAAGATTACAAAACAAAGAAAAAAAGGACGGACCAAAACTAATCGTGCACATAAAGATCTCAATGAATTTAATAATTAAAATTTTTTTCTCTTTGACGAAAAAAAAAAAAAAATAGCATCCTCTAAAAGAACATTTTGCATGAATTGAAAACCAGTTTGATTTGTTCAAATATTTTATCATCAGTAACTATTTTTATGCAAAAACTAACTTTATATGCAAACAAACATTTTAATTTAATATATTTACAATAATTTTTGTGTGTATTATTTGTTTCTAATTGACTTTTTTACACCTGTCTAATAATCTCCCTTACACGTAATGAACTTCCAAATTACACGGAGAAGCAACCAGCCCTATTGACACGTGTCACAACCGCACCAACCGGTGGTGCATCACCCTTAGCTAATCCGGCTAACTCCAAACGTCGATGAGCCGACGGACGGGGAAGATTCTCCGGTACGATAGTCTCTAGCGAGTTCCCAAGCCAAGGCGGGCACGTCCTCTTGTCACTCCACCGCCGCGCCGGCACCACACCCGCCGCCATCTCTTCTACCGGCGATTTCACAACCGCCGCGTTCACCGATGCCACATCATTCATCTGAATTGCGACGATTATTACAGTCGCCGCCACGCCAAAGACAAGAGAAGACTTGTTCTTCCGTGGCTTTGTCTCATCCTCTGTTCTCGTACTAAACAATAAAAGAAGAAAAATGATCTTTTACCAAAAAAAAAAGAAGAAAAATGATCGTTGGTATGTGAAATGATCATGTAAATAATGATTTTTCAAGAATAGGAGAGATACCAAGAGATCTTTGAGGTTGTCTTGAGAAGTGAAGGTAATGATTGTGCAGAATTTGAATGTAGGGGAGGAAGATTTAGACAGCAGCTTATTCTCCCTGCCATTGTTATTCCTCTGTTTCCGTTTTTTTTTTTCTTTTCTTTAGAAGCCACCTAAAGCAAATTTTATTTTATTCTTTTCTCCTTCAATATATAAAGATTAGACCCCCACAATAGACGGCTTTAAAATAAAAATAATATATTTTGATGTTCGTAACACAAATAAAATTATCATGAATATTGCATTTTAAATATATAAAAGTTACTTACGACAAAAAAAAAAGTTACTTAAATATTCTGCTTTCTAAGAAATTGTATAACTAACCAAAGAAATAAATTATGAAGTGAAAATGACTCAAAACATATAGTAAAATATAAAGGTAATCCATCTATATTCTTTTTCTTGCAAAAATAACTCAAAAATAGGAAATATTATAGAATCACCTTTAACGGTAATTTTTGGTTTATTTACATTGTGAGAAGTAAAAACATTTATACAATATTCAAAATGTGATGTCAATATGATTTTTGTATGGGTAAAAGAAGTAAAAATAGTTCTTTTTGTAAGATTTTTTTTTGGCTATTTTACATTTGTTATTAAATGTTTTGAGTCATATTTGCAACTCCTTGTAAAATATGTAAATCAACAGATTTTGTTTTTGAAATATTTACTCAGATGTTATAGAAAGGTTAGAATTAGAGATGTCAATCGGGCCTTCTGTCCGCGGGCCTGGTCCGTTTAGTGACCTAGCGGGGCGGGTACGGGCCTATGTAGTGAAGCCCAAAAAATAGCGGGCCTAGCGGGCTTGGTCCGTTTGAATTGCGGATTAAACAAGACATGCCCATTAAGGGCTGCGGGTTTGCGGGCGACCCACTTGTTCTTCTTCCTTTGTACCGTACAAACTGCAGAATGAGGAGAGAAGATCGATCCAAATTAAAATCGAAATCAAAATCAAAATTGAAATCGAGATTGTTGTGATTGTCACGGTTCTTGTTGCTGTGATTTTGATAGGAATCTTAGCTATGTTTCTATGGATTATTTGAGCCATTTAAAGAACTAGCTTAGGACTTCCAATTCCACAAACCTAAAAATCACCTCATACGTTTCAAGCTTTTCCCTTAAATCTTTCTTTCTTCAATTTGCAGTGTCTTAAACTAAGAACCACCAACTTATTTCTTCTTCCTCATTACTTCCAATTCCTTTTCCATAACCAGAATCCATAGAAGCAGATCATGAATATGTAGATCTCTTCCACCTCCAAGAAAATCTATGTTTTATAGTCCTTTCTAAATCTCACGACACCTCCGATTTCACCATTTTGAGCAAACGATCATGGAAGTCGTCTTCACCGTTGAGCTTCTTCACGAGAATACTCTACCCGCGGGCTGGTCCGTCTAACCGATGGGCTTTGCGGGGCGGGTTAGGACTGAGTTTTATAACCCGCGGTCATCGGCGGGCCGGTCCGTCGCGGATCAGAAGAAAAGCGGGCACCTCGCGGGCGGTCCGTTTGGTCGCGGGCAGGCCCGTCTGCCATCCCTGGTTAGAATATTACTAGCATATCATACATTTTTTGAAAATTACTCATATGTTTAGCGTCTTTGTGTAAATTACAATTAACACCCTTGATTAATTCTTTTTAATTGAGATTTTTTTATTTTTATTTTTAATCCACGTCACTAAAAGAAACAAAATTAAAGCCACGTCATTAAATTTCGGCTGAGTTATAATGCTTCACGGAAAACGAAAAGTTGCGTAAATTTACATGTCACGGCTGAGTTATAATGCTTCACGGAAGACGAAAAGTTGCGTATTTACATATTACGGCTGAGTTATAATGCTTCACGGCTGATTTATCTTTAATGTACTAAATGATAAAATTTATTATTAGCATTAACTGTTATTTTCAGTTTGCTAATTAATTTATTTTCCAATTTTTCTTTTATTAATTATTATTTCCAGTTTTTTTATATATCACGGATGAGTTATAATGTTTTACAACTGATTTATTGGAGCATTGCGGCTGAGTTAAAATAACATTATGGATGATTTGTCACGAATAAACATAAAACACATAAACCAACAGTCATGTTCGCCATTATCCGAAAAGAAAATTCCTGCAAACAATACTACGTCGGACAAGTTTTAGCATTATGCCCAACTTGTTCACATCGAGAACATGCATAGCTCAGCTTTAACTGATGGCTCAACTCCTTCAATCCGTAGTCATCAAGCACCAACTTCACAAGCTTGTCGTGCGTTGTTTCTGCATCTATCTGCACAACTCTACACCCTCTATCGTCGGTGTTAAATACATATTTGTGTTTCTTTGCCCAAACACCGGAAACAACAATTACCGGAACCGGATCAGTCATATCGGGATAAGGATGAACGAAAATGAAGAAGAAGGAGTAAGACATGAATTTTCATCGTGCCTTAAGGAAAGTTTTTACTAAGCCATGAATTTTCATGTCTTATCTATACTATCACGCTTACATAATTCAACGATTAGGCCCGATTTTGAATGTGATAATCTGGTTTACTATACCAAATTAGAAAAATTTATTCATTTCACATAATTAATGATATCAGAATGATTTTACTGTAGTCATGCATATATATATATTCGACGCTTCAAATGTTAGCCAATTTCTCTTCAAAAACTTTTTCCCTATAATTTTTTCGTCGTCTTCTATGATGCACTTGTTCGCCTTCAAATATCTACTATTCTTTATCTTCGATGCGCTTACATATAACATATTGAATTTGGATTGATTCTTAACTCACAACTATTTCCTTCTTTTCATTTTCTTAGTCTAATTTCTTTTACTAATTGCATATATGGTTTTTTTTGCTCACTTGAATGTCAAATAATTTTACGGAAAATATTTACTTGTGAAATTTTTCTCAACACTTAATTAGATTTTTACCTATATTTAAATGTGTTTGCCTTTTTTAGTTAGAAAGCAAACAATGATATAGATATACTGTAATTCTATTATTTTAATTGTTATATTTTACTATGATTTTAATATTAAGATACACTTAAATCTTTCTATTTTTTTCGTCAATGTGAATTTATACTTTCCCACTCTTAATTAAAACATTATTTCAAATTTCAAACATGTATTTTCTTAAAAATGAATTCTTTCTTATATCTTAGAAAAACTTATACAATCGTACATTTAACAATTTTTTTTTCTAACCTAAAGAAAATAATAATACTTTTTTAAAAAAACATTTCCACTTCATTATCAATTCTCTATGTACAACAGTCATTAACTACTATATCCAAGTAATGATTTTAATTCTACTGTTTTTGATAAATATAAATAAACAAAAATAAGATTATTGGTTTATGACATGGTGATATTCTATTAGATGGTTAACATGTTGATGTGGACATCTTAGATGGTAAAGAAAACTCTCTTTTTTTTTTTGGTGAAGAAAGAAAACTCTCTTTAAACAATACTATTAAGATCCCATAAATAATTTTATAACAATATATAATTCAAAAATGGTATATTATTATTGTTTATATATTAACTATAAATAAATATCTAGGAAGTTATAACACTATAGATCAAACTCTGTATTTTAAACTAAACTATATTATACGTCTATATTTTAATAGTCATATGAAATTTTATTGTACTTTTAAATTACTCACTATTGTTTCATATAACACGTGATATATTAAGTTTTTAATTGTTTTAATAAGTTAATGTGTAACGCCCCGACCATCCCTACCAGTGGGCCCCACGTCTTCTCTCGGGCCCATGGGTCCACCCCTGTTCGACGGCCGGTCCGCTACGTCCGGGAGGCTTTAAAGACTTGTTTACCGACCCTACAAATCCCCACATGATTTTTCCCTGTGTTTTGTCCTCACTCACACAGTTCCGACAATCACTTCCCGGAAGGTCACCCATCCTAAAACTACTCCAGCTCAAGCACCCTTAATTGTGGTGTTCTCTCAGGACAGTTGACCGAAAAGATAAGTGCACTTTGCTGACATAGGTGGCCAAATCAATTCTTTTAAACCTCTCCGCATGCACCACCATATTCCTGAAACCGGGGTGTTACAATTCACCCCCACTAACAGATCGCAACGTCCTCGTTGCGCACCAAGACCGTCACCCCCGACGGTGTGAGCCCTCTTGACTCCACACTCGTCTGGGTTCGGCTCTGATACAACTTGTAACGTCCCGACCATCCCTACCAATGGGCCCCACGTCCTCTCTCGGGCCCATGGGTCCACCCCTGTTCGACGGCTGGTCCGCTACGTCCGGGAGGCTTTAAAGACTTGTTTATTGACCCTACAAATCACCACATGATTTTTCCCTGTGTTTTGTCCTCACTCACACAGTTCCGACAATCACTTCCCGGAAGGTCACCCATCCTGAAACTACTCCAGCTCAAGCACCCTTAATTGTGGTGTTCTCTCAGGACAGTTGACCGAAAAGATAAGTGCACTTTGCTGACATAGGTGGCCAAATCAATTCTTTTAAACCTCTCCGCATGCACCATATTCCTGAAACCGGGGTGTTACATAATGTTTCCAGGAATATGAATATCTTCTTATCATAAAAAAAAACATTTTATAGCCTTCTAATTCAAATCAATTCTTTTGTTCATCCTAAATTATATTTGAGGTTTCTTTATTATTCTTTAAAATGGTAGTTCTTAAACGTTTTAAACACTACAAGAATCTCAGGTATTAATTGCATTATAAAATAGCAATTAATGTGATTTTGCTATAGTTGACTTACCCCTAACTTTTTCGTAGCGTTTCTAAATTGAGAACCGCTACAAAATGTTTGGCGTAAAACAAAAAGAAAAAGAACTGCTATAATATCTTCGTCAAAATTTTTTTGCCCACTTACTTTTTTAGCTCTAGGATTTTCTAAAATTATTGGGTGCCCGCCTCTTAGTAAAAATTGGCTCCAAAAAATTTTAACCTAAAAAGATATATATTCATTTTTATTTTTTTCTTTCTTTCTTAATAATCTCTCATTTCTTCGTCTCCTTTTAATCGCTTTTTATTCTTCCAAACACAACTTTTTGGATCTAATTTTTTTTTCCCCAGATCTAATTGCTCAACGATGCACTCTAACACAAAGGATCTTGTA